TAATATAATGTTTATATTATCGTAAGGCAGAACTGAAGTGTATATTATAATAAGTATACTTAATTGGCCAACTTCGAGTCCATTGACCAAAAAACTTGCTCGGTTGTTTACTGGTCTGTTGTTCGTTATCAATTATAAGATAAGACTATGAGCAGTTAGCAAAAGAAAACAACCCCCATAAAATCCCAGCGCTTTTTTAACATTATAATTTTAACCTAGGTTCGTTTCACGAATCGCGAGATGCGTCATGTTCTGGTAGGACAGCTGATAATAAATTAGTGATAAGGCGCATTAGATAAGAAATCTGTGAATAGAAAAAACGACGACCCATCCTTTCTATATAAATAGTTAAATGAGTTGTGAATAACAAATTGTACAGCATATTATTTATTGTTTAAAGCTCAGAAATTGTACCCCCAAAAAAAAAAATGGGCTGTGTAGGGTTTAAGCATAGCTAAAAAAAATTAGCTTAGTCGGCTTAAAAAACCCTGGGTTATCGCCAATCCGATTATTTTCAATAGATAAGTGTACGTTTTAAAAAAAAAAAAATACCTAACATTTTATCAACAAAAAAAAAAAATTCACCAGTTAAATAATTTTCTTAATCGGCCGAATTATCACGTCAACCATTTTTCGCTTAACCAACTCTTGAAGCTGACAGACACCCAATTACTTTTGTCATAGCTTACAATCTAGCTGTAATGTTATGTCCGCATTCAACGTCTCTAGAGAGATTTGTTTTACAGAAATTAGTTTTTTTCTCCGACTAAAACCAACTTTATGGTCCATAATATTGTATAAAATATGTGCCCGTTGACAATTATTTATTGCTATCCCACTGTAGTAATATTTTCGAACAGATAGTGTTTTTGACGAAATTATACGTCAACTATATTAGTAGCAGGCAGCAGCTATGTGTGTCGAAAAACGGATGTGTATGCAAAAACGCGGTACTGACTCAAGGCCAAACGGGGAATGAAAAAAATGGCGATTTCGCAACGTGTATGTAGAAAAATTAATTATATTTGGTTCGTATCATAAAAATACCATACTAATCCGATTTTTAGTATTTATTGAATTTAATCTCTATTTAACACTTAGACTTTTGTTTGCTCGCAAAGTCAATCTTATAGATAATGATACTAGTCTTATAGATACTATTTTGTAATTTAAAAAAAAGTAGTGTCCTGAACGAAACTAAGGGGCAAGGTTGGCACTTTCTGTTTATTTCTGCCTTAACGAATCAAAAACGGTTTTTGAGACTTCTTAACTTCCAGATAGTAAGTATCATGGTTGGTCATGAATCTCCCTCAGTCCCTCGACTCTTCACAAAATCGTGAGATTAACATTTGCCATAAGTGATGAATTTTAGTAATGTAATCGTTTTAAGATAATTATAATATTAGATGGCCTTAACAATCCCGTGTTAAATAAGGATTTAACTTGGAAAACTTGAGTCCCTTTCGCTAAAAAATTTCAAAACTATTATTATTTAACGGCAAACTTCTGTAAAAGAATTATTTTACTAGAGTATCTCAGTCATGGTAAGAGAATAAAGGAATTTATTTTTTATAGTCGGTTACAATTTGAAAGAAAATTGAACTGAAATTTTCAGAGAATGGTCCTGCAAATGCAGTTTCAAGAAGACGTTCGCGACTGATTTCGCAACTAAATTATTAAAAAACATTATGAAATATAAAAAAAAAATGAAAATAGCAGCCAACCACTAAGGATTACTATAAATAAAATATGTTTAATTTAAACTGTCCATTAATAAAGGAATAGTTGCAGTAGAACAACAAAAATCACGACTCATCGTTTGTCATGCAATTTGTTTAATGAGTTTTCTTATGGTTTTATTAGACACTATATTTGTTAAAATATCCGTTTAGTAGTTTTAAGTTTTGTATTCATTAATAGTTTATCGCTTTATTTGATAATTTTTTTAACGAACAAATATATAGAAGTTATTTACATTATTTTACACAATTTGGTATATTTCATTATTCATTCTAAAACTTTTCTAGATAAGATTAATAATTTGTTAAATTTATCTAGATGTCTAACACTGCGTATTCTGTTGCAACTCGATTTCCAACAAATATAATAAATTGCTGCACGGCTACACTTGAACCGCTCTGTATGTATGGCGGCCGGTCGGGTTTGTTTTGCCCGATTGTTATCTGTGCGCGCTGTGTTAAAAGTGCCGGCGGCTATAAAAAAAAAAAACAATATACACACCGTTTAGCGCTCGTAGTAGTACACTACACTCTCATAGTCGAGTGCACTGTCGTTCTCGTTTTGATGGCGCTGTTGTTCCGTGTCGGCGGCCAGACGACGACCGGGTTTCATTGCGCGTACACCCTCCCGCCGCCGCAGCCACCTCATCCCCGTTGTCCTCTTATGTTATTGTTGGGTAATCATGAGCCCGGCACGCCGCCACCGCCATCTACCGACACCTCCGGCCGGCCGAACAACCATGTGTTTACCGTGTCGGCCGTCGTCTGTGGAGGAGTAGGTAGAGGAGGAGTCGGCGGCGGCGGCGGCTTGTGTGTGTGATACATTTGTGCCGCGAGTAAAAAAAAAAAAAAAAATTAATTAAATAAGAAAAAAACGCTCGTTCCGTTGCGACGTTGCCGCTTTTACCGCCGCCGCCGCCGCCGTCGTCGTATAATAATAATAATATACTCTTTCTAATTATTAAATCGCTTGTGGGTACGCGATCTGTGTGTGTGTGTGCACACCGCCATTTTGGATTGATGCGTCTGGTCGAAAAAAACATTATGTATATTTTTTTCTTTTGCTCTTTTTCTATAATGGTTTAATAAATCCCGTTTTCGTTTATGCTACGAAGAGAGCTCCCCTGTACCCGAGAGGGGAGACCCGAAGGGTGACCCGTGTACAGTAGTAGCAGGTGGTACTACGGCAAACGCCGGAAACCGGTAAAAAACGGTTTTTCTAAAGGCTGCCCCGTGAGACCTCTTGGCGAAGGGTTCGGTAACGCGCTTGGACTCCCTTACAGGGCCACTCAAATCGGTGTCTTTTCCACAAGTCTGCGACAGGGAGTTGAAGAAGACCTCACCGATCATCACGCAGGGGTTCGCAATGTTCACACGTAGGAAGTAATTTCGGTGACTTGTTATATCGGTTTATTACAATAGTGGCCAACTCGGTTGTACGGCTGTAATTTCTTGAAATAGTAGATATTCCTCAGCTTGAGTTAAATTGAAAAAAAAAATATTTGATTACGCACGTTATGTACGTTGGGTATTTCGTTAAAAGATGGCGCGACGACAAGTAGATTCTAGTTTACAAAATATCGTCTCTAATTAACGTTCTCCATAGACATTGCTGTTAACCCGAGCGGCGGCGGCGGCCATCGCAATCAGAACTAGTATAATTCCACATTATGGATACAAAATATTATACTAGTTCTGATTAGAACTAGTATAATATTTTGTACCATAATGTGGTTGAGCACATGAACGATGGCGTTTTTTTCTAATATAAATTTTTAAATTTTAAAAAAGTAATCGTGTTTCGAGTAGACTTTTCTGTTTTTGCACTCAACCTCGTGTATTTATACCATACTCGGTGGAATCGGGCTAAATGGAATGTGTTGTTTTTATAATAAAACGTCCGCTTTACTGCGCTTAAGGTCGTAGGTCGGTAACCTTCTGTCGCTTCTGCTACGGCAACAGCAGCATCATCTTCGACCGCGGTGTCAAGTGAAAGAAGTGGTGGTGATGGCGACGGCAAACAAAACAATGAATAGAAATGGTCGAGAAGTTTTAATAATTTTCATTTTACAAACGAGAGGCATACCGAGACTATAGGCATGTATAAGATATAAAGCAACATGGCTAGATGACGATGACGTTAATGACGGCGTCGGTGGGTAACCGTCCTAGGGATGAGATGTTTTACTTGGCTTGAATGAAGGGTGTGGTGGTGATGGTGGACGGTATAAAGGGTTAGTGGCGAGGTGGTACAACGTCTATACATTTATATTATATATAATATATCTATATATATGTAAGTACGTATATATGTGTGTGTGCGTATAGAAAATCAATAGTTGGCTCGGCTGGTTATGTATGTAAAAGGTGGAAAATCGGGAACGGTCACACACACATACGCCTTTGGGGGGGGGGGGGGTTTGCATTTGTTACGGTGGACCTATGGTGTGGAGGGGATGTACGGAGGATAGGCTTTCTTCTAATCGATATATACCCTCTGTAGCACCCGTCGTCGCGCGACTCTTCCGGCCGCCGTCGGGATCTTATCGCTGGAGTCCTGTCTTTGACCCTGGAGGTATTGGGACCACTGTCGTGTTAAACGGGATAAGGATCGATCCTTTTGAACGTTCCCGTTTTTTTTTTGTTTCTTTAAACACGATCAGCGCTAAAAAAAAACAGAGGCGGTCGAGACCAGGCTGTTGCGGTAATGGAGGCAGGCGGGTAGTAGCCGCAGAGGATCGGTCAACGTCACCTCCGCCACCACCACCCGCCGCCTACACCCCGTTTTGTAAGAAACGACAATTTGGCAACGTCGCCGCCGATGGTCTGGAGGCTGTGTGAGGCGGCTGTGCCCGGCATTAATAGTAGCAACAGAAAATCATCGTGTGTACACCGTGTATAGAGAGTGAACACGGAATAATATAACAGAAATGTAATCCTCTCCCGCGTTCCTCGTCCGTCCCAACGTCACGCCGTTCCCTGCGCTTCGCCACGCCGTCAGCTCTCCTCCATTGTACATGCACACCCCCTTCTCCCCGCCCGCCTACCTATCGCCGGTTACACGTACAAACACATCGATTCGTTACAACGTAAACCGACAGTGTTGACAATCGAACGATTTTCCATTACCGCCGCCCTGTTGTATAATTATTATTATTATTATATTATCCGAGTTATTAGGTTAGGGACCGCGACCCGCGAACTCTCGCGTTGATTTTTTGTCTGATTTTTTTTTTATTTTGTTGTTATTTTCCGTTTCAGATGTCGGCCGGCACACAGCTGCAGATGGCTCCACAAGCTGGCCAAATGCACTTGCCGCACCCTCAGCCAGGCGGAACTGTGCATAGCCAAGACTCGAACATGAGTACGGGCTCGTCGCACAGTGACAAGGAGCAAGACACCCCGGAAAAGGGCAATTCGATAACGCGCACGCCGACCGAAAGGAAGCGCAAGAGGAAAATCGACGACACGTCCAACAACAAACAGCCCGCAATGGGGGTGGTGGCACCTCCTCCCCCGCCGCCCAGGCCCGCCGCAGCCGACGCCAAGAAAATCAACGACTACTTTACCAAGCACGGGTCGCATCCCGTGTCCAGCCCTATGAGGCACGGGGGAGCCAAGTCTCCGTCCCCCGGCGGACCGCCGCCACAAGGTTACCCAATGGTGTGTACCCTGTTTGTTCGCTTATAAAATTATATATTTACATCGGAAGGGATACTAGTCCAGGAATACAAATTCAGGGATTCAAATGTCTGCAGTTGTCTACATTTGAAAAAAAAAACACGTTCAAGTCGATTAAAATCGGTCGTTGTTTGATTTGATAATGTTTTCAGTTTAAATACATTCTTAATCCCCCAGTAGCCACAATGGATTTTTGGTCATGTCTGCGAGATTCAAGTACCCCTGGAACTCTTAAACTGAGGGAGAGTGATTGTTTATATATTGGGGGGGGTCCTTGTTTTAAAATGAATCGCCATACAATTTTAGCCAGTCGATTATTAAGGCCACGTGTGGGCCGTGTAATGTGAAATTTTCTTTTAAGGAGAAAACCGTTTTAAAATGCTTAAAATAGATAAATTTGAATTTTTTTTTTTTTGTTGACAATTTCAATATTTATGAAACTTAAATCGTATTTAGTGTCTACGTATGACAATAGCTCCTCCCCCCCCCCTTTAAGAAAAATTGTGAAAAATTAAAAATAGTTTTGGATATTTACAGTCGAAGTTTTACAAAATGACAACTCTATTTAAGTATATATTTGTCAGTCGAGATTACCAATGTACTCGTATTCTCGTCAATGAAAATTTAACTAATATTCTTAATATCAATTTTTATATGTTCTATATATACGTGTTAAATTTTTTTATATATTAAGTCGATATTTCATTTACTTTTTGTAAACCGGCCACTTTAATATATACTATATTTTTTATTACTTTAATGTGTTCAGTTCGTGCACTTAACGTGAAAAAGTCAAGTAAAAGTTGTTTAGGAAGTCACCAAAGCCCTTCTCAGGAGTTTTTTTTTGTGGGGAGGGGGGGAATATTAAAGTTTCACTTTTCGTGCCGATTTCTTCTTTTTGAGAAGAGCAAAACTTAATCGACTACCAATCTGTTTTCGTAAAGTACTCCTTGAAGGTATTATGTTTATATTTGCGTTTCCCTCTTTCAATGTAATGAACAACGCAGATGAGCCCTTTCTTTGCGGTATTGGAGATCGAGATTTTTATCTAGATTTTGACGTGGGCAAAGTTTTATACACTAGGGCAAAATTGTTCAATCGAAAATCGGCCATTTCAAAATCTAGATAAAGTATTAATCTTTAATTTCAGTATAGAACGGATTATCCGGGCGCCATCTGAAGCGAAAATTTCACAATGAACTTGTTTAATTTACTTTGTGTTGTTGGCCTTTTATAGCATTTTTAAAATTTACATTAGAATAAAAAGAAATGTTACCGGGTCTTCCTAACCGAATTTTGTTTTTTTTTTTTATTTTCAGTTTAACCCGGCTAGTGGGCCACAAGCTTTAAGCCCAGTCATACCTCCAGATTATGTTTCCATGCTGCACCCACCTAGGATTAACTCTAGTTCCATTACGAAATCTATACAGACTGATTTAACGAGTCACGCAATCCAAGAGTTCGAATGCCAGACTACTTCGGATTTGGAACTCAGGAATAATAAAATTGATGAACTAAATAGGGTAAGCAAAATCAACAGTCGACAACATTTGTTGCGATTTGGAAAAGGAACTGACGATAAACTCGTCTGATAGTCTCCTAACGGATCAAACTGTACATTTTTTAAAATTAATTCTCCTTTGTCGATTTTCGATCACAGACCAATGAAGAACTAAAACATCAGCTGAGTAATCAACAGAAGGCTATTGAACAGCACAAGTCTCACATAAACAAGTGTATAGATGTGGTCAAGAAACTGCTGAAAGAAAAATCAAACATTGAAAAGAAGGAAGCTCGACAGAGGTGCATGCAGAACAGACTTCGACTCGGTCAGTTTGTGACGCAAAGGGTCGGAGCTCAGTTCCAAGAGAACTGGACTGACGGTTATGCGTTCCAGGAATTGTCCAGGTACGTGTATCGGTAGATGTCGTTAATTTTTTACTTGCCTAGCTAATTATGTCATGTTTATTGTTTTTCCTTTCAATTAGGCGACAAGAAGAAATTACTTCCGAGCGTGAAGAGATTGATCGACAAAAGAAAATGCTGGTCAAGAAAAGGCCGTCTAACAGTGAGACTAGCGGACGGAAACGTGCCAGCAGCCAGTCGGGCGCCAGTTCGAGTAACTCGAGCACCAACAACATAGCGCCGAACAACTCAACACCCACTGGTCTGCCAACACCCGTAGTGTTACCCAACGCTGGCAGTGTCAATAACAACCAAGTGACGGGTACCGCCACCGGCACGGTCCTGCATAATGGCACTGTAGCTCCGTCGACCGCTCTAGATACGGCAACGTTCCTAAAGCCTGAAGCTGTTCCGGGCTTGTCGTGGCAAGAGTACTACGAGGCGGACGAAATACTCAAGGTGTTTATTAAAAACATTTGGTATAATATTATGTTATATTGAAAAGTAACAAGTTTTTTTCTTTTTTTTTTTTGTAGCTGCGACAATCTGCGCTTAAAAAAGAAGACGCTGATTTACAGTTGGAAATGGAGAAACTAGAACGAGAAAGAAATTTACACATACGAGAATTGAAAAGGATCCACAATGAAGATCAATCTCGGTTCAACAACCATCCGGTATTGAACGATCGTTATTTGTTGCTCATGCTGTTGGGAAAAGGGGGCTTCAGTGAAGTTCACAAAGTATGTTTAAAATTAGGCAACTCAATATTTTATTAATTCATTTTGAACTGATGAATTTACAGGCGTTTGATTTAAAAGAACAGCGATACGTAGCCTGTAAGGTTCACCAACTGAATAAAGACTGGAAAGAGGATAAAAAGGCTAATTATATAAAGTAAGTAATTGGCGTGTAGTAAAATTAAGTTTGTCGTCGTGTGATTAATTAAAATTTGCATTCCCCCTCGACAGACATGCACTACGAGAGTACAATATACACAAATCTTTGGACCACCCGAGAGTCGTTAAATTGTACGATGTATTTGAAATAGATGCCAATTCATTTTGCACCGTTCTGGAGTACTGCGATGGGCACGATTTAGATTTTTATCTGAAACAGGTTATTATTTCATACAGTCCTACTAAAAATTGGTATATGCATTTATTAACAATTGGTCTTATAATTTTTACAGCACAAAACGATTGCAGAAAGAGAAGCAAGATCAATAGTTATGCAAGTAGTGTCGGCGTTAAAATATTTGAACGAGATCAAACCTCCTGTGATACATTACGATTTAAAACCTGGTGTGTATGCCATTGGTGTCGTTCCTGTTATTAAACTGTATGTTAATTCTTAATATGTTTGTAGGAAATATTTTGCTCACCGAGGGCAACGTCTGTGGAGAAATAAAAATCACGGATTTCGGCCTGAGCAAAGTGATGGATGAAGAAAATTACAACCCGGACCACGGAATGGACCTGACGTCGCAAGGAGCTGGAACCTATTGGTAAATGAATGACCATCAAAACACTATTACGAAGAAAGAGAATATAACATTGTTTTAATCAATACATTGTTGTTTAGGTATTTACCTCCAGAATGTTTTGTAGTCGGCAAAAATCCTCCAAAAATATCATCAAAGGTGGACGTTTGGAGCGTAGGTGTTATATTTTACCAATGTCTTTACGGCAAAAAGGTAATAGTAAAATATGATTAGGCAGTTTTTCAATCAAATGTTTCTGAAATATTTATATGTATATATATATAATTTTTTATTATTAGCCTTTTGGACACAATCAATCTCAGGCCACTATCCTAGAAGAGAATACCATTCTAAAGGCTACGGAAGTGCAGTTCGCCAACAAACCTACAGTCAGCAACGAAGCCAAGGTATAACGATAGGCAAATCTTATGAAGTGAAATTACTTCTTATGCCCCCCCGATAGGCTTTTGATGTTTGGTGTTACACCATAGATGATAACTAATATATGAGATAAATCATTATCTCTTTATTAGCTGATCCCCCCTTCTATCCCCAGCTACACTTCAATCGCATATCCCATGATACACTCGTCGCTTTGTCCAACGACTACAATATTCTATATTTATTTTGCCAGAGCTTCATCCGCTGTTGTTTGGCGTACCGTAAAGAGGATCGAATCGACGTGTTCACCTTGTCCAGGCACGAATACCTGCAGCCGCCGTTACCAAAACACGGCAGATTAGCCAGCACTCAACAACAACAGCAACAACAGCAGCAGCAGCAGCAACAACAACAACAACAGCAACAGCAGCAACAAATTTCGGCGGCTAATTTCGCGTCCGGCATGTTTGGCAACATGAACGCATCCAGTTCGTCCTAACATACGACAGGTAAACTGAGGCAGCCAAAGGTCATGCTAGTAAAATGTGTTCCCTCGTTGCCGCCACGTCCGTCATGCCATTTACGTAAAACTCGACTGGCTTCTTGAAGGTGTGCCGCCGCCCCTCCGACTCTGCAAAGTTTCATTTCTATAAACGATTATTATTATAATAATTAATATAATATTATTATTTTATATATAAATGTACTAGTCAAACCGTTTTTGTCACTGCTGCGAATCAGTTCCTGAGTACATTTATGATGTTTACGTTTACTATAACCCTGAAAAAAAAACAAACAAAATAGTGATATTTGTTTAAGATTTTTGTTTATTTTTTTTTTTTGTTTTTCCCCTTTTTATCCCGGTGAAAATTGTACTGTACGCAGGACATACATTATGATAATTAATTGAAACTAAGATAAGTATAATTTTAAAAATTACAAAATGGATGCTTTTAATGTAAAAAAAAATTAAATATATCAAATCTGTTTCTACGCGCATATCCCTAGAACTCATTAAATGATAATTGTCCCATCATCACAAACTTTATTTTTTATTTTTTGCTATGTATAGTTTCACCATTTTTTTTTTTCTTGTAAATATATATTTATATAAATATTTGTGTAAATAAAGCCGTTTTTTTTTTTGTAAATGACGAGTGAATTCAGTTAAAGAATTGCGATGATTAAAATGTTATTTAGTTTGTTTATTGTTAACACAAAAATGTTTATTTTGTTGTGATAAAAATGAAAAAAAATTTGTGGAGAAAATAAACATGAAACAATAAAAGGTTTTTCCTATTTAAAATAATATATATATATGTATATATATATTATAATATAATATAAAAAACGAAAGGAAAGCCAAAAGGCGGTTTTTTTTTCAAGCCAATGAGACTTCATAATTATTATTTTAGACACACTAGATTTTTGTTGTAAGGTTTATTACTATTTCTAGTAATAACAAATATTGTATAATTATTATTGCTATTATTATTATTACTATTATAAAAATAAAACAAAAAAAATGAATTGAAAAACGATACTTTTGGAAATTTGTTTTATTTTAAATGTTCCATTTGTTTGCTGTAATGTAACCGACTTGTTGTTGAATACATTATAAACACGTTCGTCGTCTGTTCTGAAGTCACCGTTTGCAATGTTCATAAACGCTTGAGTATGTTGGATTTATAAAAAAAATATAAATAGTAAAATAGTTGTTTTTTTAATTCATTGACAAAAAAGAAAAAATTTAGCAAAGCGAATAATAAATTTGAAGTGAACAAATTACATACTCGTAGAAAAATATTTTAGGCAAACTGGACGTGAAGTAAAAACTTGATGGGATTATAAGTTATTTTGAAACAAAATTATAGTTTAGTCTTGGTAAGGTTACTTTTTTAAAACTGACTATTGACTTTTATTTCTAATAAAATTTAATAATGTAATAAATAACTTTTAATAATTCTGTTTATTTTTAAACAGAAGTTTTTTATTTTTTTGTCAATTACAATTTGTTTTGACAATATTTTAAGTAAGCAGTTATTTGCATTTTTAATGAGAGTACCTATCATCTGAAGTTATTGTTACTGTAATTAATTCATAGCTGCACGATAATAAGAAAACATTCTTAATAATACAAATTAAGAATGTATTATTTTTTCATATTTATTCTGAAATTTCTTAAGTACAGTTTGCCTCCAATGTCGTAAAAAAAATGTTTAGTGGTGTTTTTGGCATGTTCTAATAAATGTATTTTAAATAGTTTTATCTTTTTTTTCTGAATTCTGAAATGACCTCAGAATTAATTTTAAGTGTTTATTTTTATTTATACACCAAAAAAAATTCTAAAAAATGTATGTACCAGTGAAAAAAATTCCTATGAAATATTATTTTGTTGGTTATGTCAGCAAAATCAATTATAATTATTCGGAGAGTTCTCAATTTAGCAATGAAAATCAAATCAAACACTATTTAAAATCAATTTCGGAAAAATTATTAAAACATACTGAACACCAAAACGTGTTTCATATGCCATAAAAATACAATTTATGACTTGTTAGAACAATGAAATATAAAATAAAATTCCTTATTCTCAAATCTGAATTTTTATGTTCTAGAAAAAATTGAGGACATTTATCATGTTGAACGCAATCGTTAAAATGATATAATAAGTCGGCAAATTCCAATAATAACCATACTTTTATTTCGAGAACCGATCTTTATTCTGTTTCTGCCTGTATTTGCGATTTGTCAGCAATATATTAAAATACGGATGTATTGTTTATTTAATTGCAGTAAAAAAAAATCCAACAATGTGTACGTAATATTGTTATTATTGAAGTGTCGTCGAAATTTTAAGATTCTAACCACCATATAAATAAAATAGTTATGGTTATAGTTGACTAGTATTTTTTAGAAAAATGGTGTAAGACTTTGAAAATCAGACGCTATGATAGGAAAAAATATCTACCCATAAAGGCTCTTACTGTACAAATCAAAGTCAATAAAAATACACTTACGTTTCATGTTAAATTGATAGTTTGACCAAAATCACCTATACCACAAACCCCATAATAAATGCCATCTTCTTAATGTTTTTTATTATAATCATTCGATATTATCAGCTCGAGAGATAGTTTTTAACTTTTATTTGGTCAAACTGGGACGTGCCATTGAGTTCTTGGAGGGCTTTACGTTTATTGCTATTGGTGACAAATTTCAAATGAGTGATTCGTAGACGTGAAGAAATTCCCGTCAATAATATCCCAAACTATACAAATAGTATTTTTTTTTTTTTAGAGCTTTTGCTTTTTATTTTTCAATATACACCACAACAATTAAAACAATGTAATTCTATTAATAATAATAGTTAGTATATCGTGGTAAGTGGTTTACAGTGGTATTGGTTTACAAATAACACATCAGCAACAAAAAACGTCCGCCGCCGCTGACTATTATCGAGGCGCATACTTTAAATTTAATAACTTTATGAATTAATATAGTTTTATACTTCAGTTATTTTTAAAGACAGACTAACTAGGCTGCAAAAAATATGGTCCAAAACAAAGTACGCGTAAAAGCTTCTAAAGCAATTTCCGGTTGAAACTGTATTGCCACTATACGCATAAAGAACCCAAGACTTAAATGACCTACCTACAGGTTTTAAACATACAAACGACTACTCCCCATACACTCAATTTTAATGACTCTGAAAAATACTTTATTTTCAGAAAGCTGAAATTATTTTACATAAGAAACTTGATTTTTAATCATTTGTTTTGGTGGCCGAGGATACTATAAAAAAATTATGTAAACGAAGTGGCCAAAATAATCGAATAAAGAATACAAAAAAATCTGAGACCAGTTTTTTCTTTGTGACAGACATGGCGTTTTAACCTATAAATATTATGCCTAAAAGCAATACAAATACTTTATTGTCATACGTCATTAGATAGGCAACGGAATTGGCGGTTTGAATTTGCTCACATTACGGAGGCAACCTCTTTTATCTAATAAACTTGCCCACTACCCACTAAAACAACCACTGATTAGCCGGCAATAATAACCGAGCATTCATCAATTTTCCCGACGAAATAATAATATAAATGCACAATGCACATGCCATTATTTCGTTAACCTAAAACATGCGGGCTGTGGTTATTTAGTTATTCATACCGATACTGGATACAGTTTATTTGTTATAAAAGTAGTTCGGACAATATCGTTTTTAATTTCTCACAATATGGCGAGCAACATAGCAATAGGAATCGATTTGGGAACGACATTTTCCTGTGTGGGAGTCTGGCAAAACGGCAGAGTGGAAATCATTGCCAACGATCAAGGAAACAGGACCACCCCGAGTTATGTAGCGTTTACGGACTGTGAACGGTTAATTGGAGAAGGGGCCAGAAATCAAGTGGCCATAAATCCTCACAACACCGTGTTTGATGCCAAAAGAATGATCGGACGGCGATTCGACGACGAGAAGATACAAGAGGACATGAATCATTGGCCTTTTAAAGTCGTTGATGATGGAGGCAAACCTAAAATTCAAGTAGAACATCTGGGCGAACAAAAAATGTTGACCCCCGAAGAGATCAGCTCAATGGTGTTGGTGAAATTGAAGGAGACGGCCGAAGTGTACTTGGGACAACAAGTCACAGACGCAGTCATCACCGTTCCGGCTTACTTCAACGACTCGCAGAGACAAGCCACAAAGGACGCCGGTAAGATTGCAGGTCTAAATGTACTAAAGATCTTAGTGGAACCTACAGCGGCAGCTCTAGCTTATGGCTTGGACAAGAATGTAAAAGATCAGCGAAATATATTAGTATTTGACTTGGGCGGTGGTACTTTTGATGTGTCTATTTTACAAATCAACAATGGTAATGTTTTTGAGGTGAAATCTACTGCCGGTGACACTCATTTGGGAGGCGAAGACTTTGACAATATATTAGTGGCACATTTAGCTGAAGAATTTAAACGAAAATACAAAAAGGATGTTATGAGTTGTCCCAGAGCCTTAAGGCGTCTTCGAGTAGCAGCCGAAAGGGCCAAAAAATCCTTGTCCTCCAGTACTCGAGGTTCCATTGATGTTGATGCGCTAATAGACGGTATAGATTTCCATACAATAATTTCCCGTGCTCGGTTCGATGAACTCTGCGGAAATTTATTCAGATCGACCCTTGAACATGTAGATAAAGCGTTGATGGATGCTGAGCTCGACAAAAGTTCGATTCATGATGTTGTATTGGTTGGCGGGAGCATAAGGATATTAAAGATTCAGTCTTTACTACAAACATACTTCTGTGGTAAGACACTTAACTTATCTATTAATCCCGATGAAGCTGTAGCATATGGTGCTGCTGTTCAAGCTGCCATTCTTAGTAAGGAACCAAGTTTTTTAATTAAAAATCTAACGCTTATTGATGTCACACCACTATCGTTAGGAATGAGAATACTTGAAGGTTCTATGTCTATCATAATACCACGAAATGCTCCTATTCCTTGTAAAAAGGCTAATGAATACACTACTACAGTAAATAACCAAATGGCAGTCGATATTTATGTGTTCGAAGGAGAGAGAATACTTTGTAAAGACAATAATCTATTAGGTTCATTTACATTAACTGGAATAGAGCCGGCTCCTGAAGGCGTACCGAAAATTGAAGTAATTTTTGATATTGATGCAAATGGTATTTTAAATGTTACAGCTACAAGTAAGAAAAATGGATGTACTAATAGCATTGTCATCAAAAATGAAAAAGGTAGATTATCTACTGAAGAAATCGAGCTTATGATTATGGAGGCTGAAAAATATAAAGCACAAGATGAAAAACAAAGATCCAATCTCAAAGCCAGAAATATTTTGGAAAACTTCGTTTATGATATGAAACAAGCGTTGGATAATGCAGGAGAAAGACTTAACCAGTCTGAAAAAACTATTGTGAATCATGAATATGATTTAGTCATACAATGGTTAGATGACAACCATTTAGCTGAAAAAGAAGAATATGAACATAAATATAAAGAAATCCAAAACAATGTATCTAAATTAATGAAGATTATACAATAACAACAAATGGTAATAAATGACCCATTTTAAACATATGTGTTAAATTAATAATGTGTGTTAAAAAAGTAATAATGCCTCCATGTATTTAATAAGTATGGTAAAAAATAAACACTTATATTATTATTATTGTGAGTAAAAATTGCATTATTAATATATTTATTTAAAAATCACAAAATTGTCTTTATACCTATTAGTTTTATTCAACTATTTGTTATTTATAATATAAAATAAGAATTTCAAGGCATTAGATTATATTTAGTATTACTTGTTTCCCTTTTCATTGTTTTTTTTTATTATAAATAAAGTTAATCGTTAATTTTCACTATAATTGCGTTTAACTTATTTGAGGCATACAAAATGTGTTATTAGTAAATGTAAAGATTTGCTTATGTAAGTTGTAGAATGCAGATTTTAACTCCTTAAAATTCATCAATAATAATAAAATAAATATTTATTAATTAATTGTAAATTTACTAGTATTTGATTGGTAATAATACTTAAATAGAAAATTTTTATTAATGTGTATGGTTTTATTGATCAGGAGTAAGTTTTAAAAGATGTTTGGTTGCTTTTGGATATATACATAGAAAATTATACCACTGTATTACTTATGTATCCTATACTCGAAAAGATATCTAAAATGTTAAAAATAATTTTTCTAAATAGAAAGATTGTTAAGAGTGGCTAGCAGTAACAACTATGTTACTGAAAATTAATAGTAAAATATTTAAATATACATTTTTTAAATTATTACCAACTATATTTATTACTAGAAGTGAATGATGATACAACTAGTTTTATAATAGCAATCGTACAAATTATCCAGACTGAGAAAAGGTATAGTTAACACTTTAGTGTACATTTACAATTAAAACATATACTTTGCGATACATGATACGCTGTTTAGTTTAGGACATTAATTATCGCACTAAGATTTAATGTAATCTAAGATGATATTTCTAAAATGTTTAAATTGAAAATAATATCACGAAATATACAAGCAAAACAATAATGATATTGTTATATTTTAACCTTTTATAAATACCTGAAATTGGCACCAGAACCACTAAATTATTGCTACTGAACAATTAAATCTAAATTTACTTATTGACTTAGAATTAATGTTATTTATATTTAATTTTGTAACTATTTAATACTGTAAAAGCCAAGCTAAAATGATATAATTTTTTTTATTAAAAAATATGACGGAAGAAGGATGTTTATTAAGTCTTATGATCCAACACAGATAAAAACTTCTATGGGCAAACTACAAAGGAAACATTCTCCTTATTTACTCTATTCTGTAAAATAAAATTTAAATCTTCTATAATGATTAATCATGCCTATGCGTTATCAATATTTTAGCACAAATCAAAATTACATTAGACTGCGAATAATATTTATAAGCAAATAATATCAATAGGTAACTGTATTATTAATTATAACATTAAACATTTGTTGTTTATTTTAGACTAGTGTGTCTCCTTTGTTTCCATGATCTGAACTACTGAACACTAACATTTACTAATAATTAATTTTGTTAACGAAGCAGATGTCAATTTATTTGGCAAAATACGTCGTGCTTCGATGGAAACACAATTGTGGTGTATTGAATAATGTTTATTTTTGTCAATATATTAATTATATTATATAAATGTCAAAATAAGAAACGTGGAAATAATGCATTTTCATTAAAGAAAAAAAAAGATTATAATATTAAATAATACACAATTTAACAATGCAAAGATTGAACATATTATACAATTTTACTAACAATAAGAACAGTGTAAAATAGTTACACCAATTAAGTAAAATATAAATACTTTTTAATTTAAATGAGACAATACATTATGGTTATAGTTAAAAAATAAATCACTAAAATCTCGCATGTGACTAGAATGCATAAAAACCTTAAAATATTAAAAAATGGACTTGGTTTTTGGCCGGTCTGCGTTTCACAATGAATTATGATTTTTATAATTGTTCAATTAAACATAAATAAATATATATATATGTAATAGTAATGGTAGTATAACTAAGTAATTATCTTTACGACTAAAATACGTTATTGGGTTTTATTACGATTTTTATTATATAATTATGTTCAAGAATTCAACAAACAAACAAATATTATTATTATAAAGGTTGCCTATATAGACTTATACGTGATAAATGATTAACAATAACACTTTTATTATAATGGAAATGGTAAATAGCCTTAGAATAGAGGCAGGGAGAGGAACGAGAAATGTTTAAAAAGATTGGTTATTAATGGGGTAACAAAGTTTTGGTAACTTAAGACTGATCAAAACTTCCTTGAGGAGAACTGTTTAGCTCGTCAACTTCTTGAATAACAGATTCGGCTTCTAATCGTTGACGGTCGGCTAACATCTCTCGCCTGAGCTGAGCATTCAACTTGATGATTCGGTTTTGTAATTTCGGAGACAACTGACACGTTTGTTGTTCCAGGTCGTCGAAACTGGCGCGTCTGTTTAACTTGTGATGATGATGATGAAAATGGTGTCCAGAGGACGGAGGGGACGGAGAATGTGAATAACCATGATGGTGAATAGACAAGCTCGGAGAAGTTAGAGATCCTCGTCTGAGCGGAGAAGGCCCTCCCTCCCACTCGTTGCCTTCCATAGATTTGACCAGACTGTGTCTAAAAGTACATAATATAAATAAAACCACAATTATTATTACAATATATTATTTTTTAACTGCCAGAAAACTTTTATTATTCAAACAATAAAAAATTGTTTAAAATACAATTTATAATAGAAATAGAAATGATTAAAATTCATTCATTTTGATTCCTACAGCAATACTTTATATCTGAACCACTAAAATTTGATAAAATAATAGATTTATATTTTACTGATCTTTCGATAACTTTTTATTAATTTCATACATTTTTTATGTGATTTTAACACTTTCAGTTATGAATTTTTTTCATTTCAATAAGCCTCATAATTCAAAATTATACACACTTACTGTAATAGGATTATTTATTAAATGTGTTACTAATACTAATAGTAATATTCAATTTATTTAAATGTAATTTTTAAATTAGAAATTGATTGTTTTAATAATTTTAAAATCCAATGATATCACTGGGAAGCTGCGATTTTGCAGCATGGTATAAAGAAGTCGATTTTGAGTAATTCTACTTTTATTCAGTCATTATACACCGGATTACCGAACATGTCAAATAATTATCACATGGCTGGATAACCAAAAGACCATTGTATCAGATTAGTAAGACTGTGATAATTAAGCACTTTCGATATAAACACCTTTTGTTTGGGTATACTTAGAATAATACAACTTAACCCCATACTACACTGCGGATGACGATAATTTGTATTTAAATTTGTGTCATCCGCAGCAAACGTGTTAAGGAGGGTATAGATCACAAAAAATATGATAATTTTTACATGTAGTTTATCTTGAGAACCAGAGTCGATCTAAAGAAAGTAACTGCAATTTGTGTATGCGTAATTTAAGTGTACTAAAACAAACCATATACAAATTTTATGCCTCAGAAAAAATGTATAATTTGTGCCTCAGTATATTTGTTTTAAACATGTCTAACAATTATTGAAATAATAGTTGCTATGATATTTTATTTAGAGTGCTTTCTTAAACAGTGATCTGGGAGTCAGTTAAATATATATATATATAAATGTTTGTCGTGTTGTCACCTTAAGTGAGGCTAGGAAAATACATTGAGCAAAAATCAAATAATACAATATTATACCTTCGAGATAAGGTCACCAGACTTTGCCTGTGTTTCGAAAAACGATGTGATTTTCCCTGTCTCATTTTGATTGCGGCAAAATGATTTTGAATGGCCAAGCTCAATTCTGGACATTCTTCTTCGTTAATCTAATAAAAATAAGATTTATTAAATAATAAAAATATAATAATTATTGTCAAAAGACTTAAAATAAAAACCTACCACAACGGGAGAATTTTTTAACACAGTGTATCCATCGCATCCGTTGTGTAAATAACACTTTGTGGCCAACCTGTACGACTGGTTGGGAATGAGGTATTCGTCACCTATTTTAACTAAATTCGGTTCGATTCTACTGCCTGGTTCAGCTTCTGGATCAAAACCAAAACTAATACCAGATACTTGGAGAAAACGTCCTTCGGTTTTCGGATATTTACTTACACCGTTTTCTAATGCTCCTAAAATTTGTTGACCTACAATAAAAAAATAAGTTTATTTATTGAAAAACATTTAAAATGTAAATTAAAAATAATATAAATTTACTTACCAGTAACTTGTATGACAATAGTAGGGTCTTGCATAGGCACAATGTTAACGAGGTCACCTAAAGTGAAATCGCCAGGAGGATGAATACGATCAGAGCGAAAAGTGCCGGAATTCAACATCACTAAATCTGCTCCGGTGGCCGCTAATAAAACATCGCATACCCAATTTCCCAGGTTCGTTTCGCTGGTTCTTATCTGACTGAACCGACCATCTAATTCAACATGAAATGTACCTAGTACTTCGCCCATCTTTCCTTCCATCACACCTAAGTAAAAAAAAAACGTTTTTATTTAATTTAATTAATTAACAGTAGCAAATGAGCAATAAAAATTGCAAAGCTCTATTTTCGTAATTGTATCTTCTTACCCAAATAAGAATCCAAAATTTCTTTCATAACAACGTCTTCTTTAATATCTTTGGTGACTTCAATCCTCTGTATTTCAACTGCGTCGTTAGACCCTTCCAGATTAATAGTTATTTTTGAAAATTCTCTGAAGTCAGTTCCACTCTTGACAATAAACCTATCGTTTATTTTCTGTACATCATACGCATGATCGTGGCCGCCAAGGATTAAATCGATTTCACTCACATTTTCGGCCAACTTGACGTCATTTGGCATACGCATGTGAGTAAGAGCTATTATGTAATCACAGCCGTCTTCTCGAAGTTGTTTTGCTAACGATCGGCCAGCTTCAACGAAATCTATGAACGTTACTTCTTCCGGATCAATAGTAGCCAGAGTGTCTAACCAATCTCGTTCGACCAAGCCAACTAAACCAATTCTTCTGTTGTGCCAATCAAAGACGTGAGTAATTTTACCATCGCCCAAAGGCCTACCAGTCTCATTATCAACCACATTTGACATTAGCCATGGAAAATTGGTTTCGGATACACGTTCTGCTAACACTTCCAGTCCAAAATCTATATATGTATATTATAACAAAAAAAATTGTAATAAATATAATGTACTGATTTATTCTCAACTCAGTTTTAAAGATAGAATAACGTTTTAAGGCTTGTTTCTAACTTTTGGTTATTTATGTTTAGTTTTTAATTTTTTTTTTTAAATATTGACATTAAAAAAAAAAAAAAAAGAATAATGATTTGAGTGTTATTTATGGTTTTTTCAAGCAACATAAGAAGGTCACTTTTTAATTTCCTTATGTTACTAAATTTACTTTTTTATCATGTAGTAGTTTTCTGACAAGGTAATAGTGCTGAATAAAATGATATTCTTTGTTCAGTTTGCTTACCAAATTCGTGATTTCCATAAACAGCACATTGTGTCCCTAAGTTGTTCAGTACCTTTGACATCTGTTCTCCCTTTGTAAAAGTGCTCACTGAAAATAACCGTTTACAAAAATGTAGGTATAATTATTTTATTGTAAAAGCTAAATAGGAAAAAAAATCACTACGTACACATGCTTGGAGAAAATACATCTCCGCTAAACAATATCATAGGTTGTAAGTGAGCAAACGACTTGATCATAGTGGAGAACCGCGATGCGCCACCGCACGGCTCTTGATCTCTAGCTTCAACGTTGTACACGTCATTGAAATGAAGAATAACTAATGGTGGTGTGGATCCAGACATCTGATCGGTCATGGTACTTAGTGTTCGTAAGCTGGCGTGTTGTACTTCCAAAGATGCCTGCGACCAATAAAAATATATAAAAAAAGAGTCAACAATCATGATGTCGTAACTAAACAACCTACAATTGAAGTCGTAACTATGGACGATAGTCAATTATTGATAAAACAATGACATTATCTAATAGAACAGTACTCAAAGAAAATATTCAAACATTAACATCGGGTAGTTAGGTTATTTTAGTAAATGTGAAAATTGCATTCATAGAAATGAATAATTACGTTAGTAAATATTTATTATTATATCAAAAACAAATGACAAAAACTTATAGACGGCAAAAAGGAATTACCATGATAATAAATAGAACCACAGTAACATGTTTGTTATATATTTGACAGATGGCTGAATATCGGTTATTTAAACATAATGGCATGAAAATTGATTTTCACGGTTAAATTATTTTTTTTTTTTAAAAAGAAACTGTTCAGTGTTCACGAATCGACAAGGCTAACAACAATACAGTTAAAAAATAAATGCATAATGAGCAAAGATACTATTAAGATGAAGTTTTCCCAAGGATAAACGATTTTTATTATCTTAAACAAAGAAAACTACACATGAATATAATAATGAAAAGAAAGAAACATATTGAACAAATAAATAAGAAAGTTACTAGCGCTATATATGAGCAAAAGCAATACAGAGAAAATAATTTCAAACAAAGAAATTGCTTGAAACATTATTATTACATTTTATGTTTAAAAGTGAAAGTAAAGCATGGTACATATAAAAGTATAAAAAACAAAATGTTCAAGCTAATTGCAATAATTTGTACTTAATATGAAATCGGAACAGTTATTAACAATAGGTATATGAAGTAAACGATTAAGTAATCAGTACGCAACAGTGGAATTAATTATTGCCATACTTATTTACAATTTTAACATTTTTATAGACATAAAATAGAAAAGCTAAGAAGAATTTAACATTAAACTAATTTATTTAATTCTTTCTATACCTGTTTTAACCAACCGACTACATTTCGAACACCGGTCGAAACTTGGCTAGAGCTGGGAAGCTCAACAGACGAGACTGCTGTAGAGTCCACAAACTCGTCCCATTTGGATCTTAGACTAGATTTGGTTGCCATGCTGTTAGATAATTGGACTCCTTTGGTTAGGCTAACTACAAAATTATAGTGTTAGGTATTTTCATTGAATACAACATTTATAACAATATTTATACACCTTCACCAAATTGAAACATGTCATATACAATTTGAATAAATCACTATGATTTATAGATTACAAAATGTTAAGACTATCTAAAATAATGTTAAAAATAAAATACTTGTAAATATATTATATAAATACGTTTTAAAAGAAGAACTTACAAAAACTAGTATATTAAAACCAAACAGTTTGCTGTTATTGATTAAATCATTATGATTAAAATAATATAAATAACAAAAAGTTAAGTGAACATGTTATTTCTATTATTATTATTATTATTATAGAATTAATATATTATTATTGATGGGCATTGTATATAAATTTGACCCTTTTTTTTCCTTTAAAATCATAGATTTAAAATTGTGAGTTCTGCAAATTTAAAATAATTGGGGATTGTTAAATTATTAATATATTTATGACTATTATTTTCTAATGTAACTTAAAGTACCATATTACAGTTACAAATAATTGGTATTCATTTATTATTTCAGTTATAAAACCAAAAAAGTGAATCTGACAATTTTCCCCAACTATTGAATTATTGTTTGGACGTTACAAAACGTAGTAATATAAAAACTTAAAATTGGACAAAGAACTATAAATTAAAATGACAAACTTATGGAAAAACGTTTTTCATAACTCAAATAAATGGTCAGAAATATTAAACTGGCGACCCAAGAATTAATGGCTCGCGATTGGTCTATTAATGTTCTTACCAGTTTAGCTTGAAAGTTAAGTGTAGCCTAACATAGTATCATAAAATTAAAAGCTATACCGGCAAAGTAGCCAATAATAAACCATTGTTTTTTTAAATTAAACTTAATTTTAAACAAAATATTGAAAAGTCATTAGATTTTGATATTTTCCATTAAACAAATTTACAATAAAGAGAGCAAAGGTGTTTGTCAAAAGCTAGCACACGAATAAAAACATTATTTGCGATTTGTTGCATGCAAATTGAATGGTCAATGACAACAAATTGTTCTATAATTAGCAAACAGAATAAAGGGTTATACAGGGCCGAGGGAGCTGATTATAATTAAATGTAATTATTTAAAAATGCTATTTAGAACAACGGAGGTAATATAATATAATTGTAAAAAAAAAACACCTAAATAAAAATAACCAAAGGGCACCTGCCTTGATATGACCAAAATTCGACTGCGATACACGGCTATCATATTTTACAGCCAGTAAGATTTGTACGAGTTTTAACATTAGTTAAAAAAAAAACAAAATGTATTTTCGGACGAATAAAAATCTCGACACTCGCGGCGGTTTTAGAACGATTAGGTAGGTATATTGAATTTCTACCGAAACCAAAACGAAAAAATATTTAATAGCTATGTAAAATGTACTAGCTAAACGCGTTACTCCCGGGACAAGTCCCTGGATACATGTAGGTCAGGGTGTTTGTGTTCACAAATCACAGGCTGTTTTGAAAACCTATTGATTTTTTCCCACCATTTTGCCGCAGCGCCGTCGGACGATCGCTTTGCATACGAAATTATGTCGTATGGTAGAAAAATATGTGTTTACCTGACGTCGGTGTTGTACAGCAGCCACTAATTAATCTCGATCGACTATACCCGTGATCATACTTGTCTATGCTTTTCTCAGCATACGAAACATAATAATTATGACTTTGGCAAGATTTTTCGTTTTTTAATAGGTGGACATCATATCAGATTTTACCATTTATGACAAAATGGTATAGGTATGTCGTTAACTTGGGTTATCAATTTTTCAGTATGACAGCTGGTATTCTCTCGTAGGAAAATACACGGGCTCCCGAGAAAACCGACGGCCATTTTGTGGTCATCGCAATTTGCTGACATACCTATTCATTTGTCACGACCCGTTATCAATATAAACTGATAACAGCCAAAAGTGATAACTCTCCGAGCGCTGAAAACGTCGATCAACTTCGAAGTTCGAACACAACGTTACCTTGTGATTAATGTGATCAAAATTTTCAAGTTGAAGAGTTTAAGTATGACGTATTCCTTGTTAAAAACTAATTTCGCACAATGCTTCCTATAAGTTTTAGTATTTAATATTTTTTTTATAATTTATAACAAACGGTTAAAACACTGTTACCTAAATATATTCGGCCTACGTTAAGATGATTGTTTTATATATCTAAAAAAAACTTAAGCAACTTATAGTTAAATGTAATAAAATAATAATAAAAACCATTAACCATACAAATTATATACTCTCCACGTATACGACGTATTTCGGCAACTATGTGGTCATCTTCAGCGCTAACGTTAGCGCTGAAGATGACAACATTGTTGCCAAAATACAACGTATACGTAAAGTGTATATAATTTGTGTAGTTAAGGGTTTTATTATTATTTTATTTTTAATATTTTATATAGTACAACAGCTATACTCATTACTCATTAACGCTCACAAATCTTTGATCAAATACTAGGTTAAAATGTTTAACTTTGATGCAAAGCTGAACAGGTATTGGTTTAACAAAGATGGATTTTTACTATTATATACATTTTTTTTGTGCTAGTAAACACAATAACTTTAACCACCAGACTTGTTTTTTCATGTAGCAATGAAAGTCTATTTATCAATTATTGTAGACTGTAGTACACCGTAAATGGCCCGGGCATTATTTAAATAAATTTGTAATCAAAAATAATTAAAATAAATGTTTTAACTAAAAAAATTGAAATCAAATTGTATTTTAAATAATTAAATGAAACCAAATAACAAATATTTAAATAAAATTATAATTGCTTACTGAAATAATTTTTTTATTTTAATTCAAATGGAATTAATTGGATAGCTTTTATGAAAAACTTTATGTTAAATTTATTTATGATAGACTATAATTTTTGTCACAAAAAATTGTCCAATTATAGAAAAATGAAAATAATAATATGTTTAGTAATAAATCAGATTTACATTTCGATACCTTGAAGCACACAAGTGCTATGTTCATAGGATAGAACGTGGACATAGCACTTGTGTGCTTCAAGGTATCGATTTAATATTAGGAAACTATTTAAAATAACTTATTATTTATAAAGAGCATTATAAAGAAATAACTAATAGTCTTTATTTTTAATTTAAATGTTAAAAAAAAAAAAATAAATAACACTACAAAAAAATGTAATCATTTTTTGCAACAACAACCAAAATACATCTACTTATTAAAACATGTTTTCGCTGAATCAGAATTAAGAATCGACCTTCGTTTTTTATAAGAATTTTTTTAGCACATCAATTTGTATATGTATGTGTGGCAATGGTGTCAATGTTTTCGAGTTATAATAAAAATAACTTAACGTTACAAACAAAACATAGAAAAACAAAATTTTGCATTGGGCGATCACGGGTATTGTAGTGAAGAATTACAACATAAAGCTAAGTTTCAACTTTTTTTATGTCAGTAAAATAATAAAGATTAGTTTTAGGAAACTTTTATTGTATTTTGCTTGAATTAAAAAAACCCACATTGTATTAAACACTTTCCTATCATATTAATCTATATCTGATACCTATCTATGTAATCTTACCTAACCTAAACTATAATGGACTACAAGTATTTACTCGTATATCACGTTAGAAACTCGAAGATTAATTCAATATTCAAAAGTGGTTATATAGACCAGTATTTATCGCAATACGTCGTTTTCGAAATTGAATGTTTCGAAAGTCAACAGTTTATGCATTAGTTATTAGTTTTAGTAACGATTAAATATTTTGAATTAAACATTTGTTTTTAAATTATATTTGTAATAACTTCGATGCGGAGTTGTATTTATCGTAACTTCAAATTTAAGTAATAAGTATGTGCCATTAAAATTATCAAATTAATCTAAAGATCAAAGTATCTATAATAAACTAACTAAAGTAGTAAAAAAAATATAATAATTATTTCTATTTTAGATCTCGATGAAATCCAAAAAAAATTTGATTAAAATAGTGATTTTTAATGTTGTATTATGTATATGACTAATATATAAAAGCAATATGCTAGGTATTTTATATAAGGTTTGGAGCATTTATACTAACTTAGTACCGCACGAACCAATCCGCCAAAAGTAATTGATAATAGCTAAAGTTCTGGAAATGCAAAAACATGACTTGAAAGTAGAATTTTTTATATTTCGATTTAATAGTTACAATGACTACTATTTTAAGACCTGGCTTAACGACAGCAATGTCATTTTACCCATAAAAACGTAATTTTTTTAGAAATAATAATTTTTAAGGTTACTTTTTATATCAAATATTTTCACAGTAACATAAATATTAAATTTTTCATCTTATGATGGTGGCGTTGAGTCTTCATCAACAAGACGATGACAAATCTTAACTTTTAATGTTAGTTTAGTGTTAGTAATTGTTTACGCTATATGACGATCATGTGTTGCATGCTTTCGAATTCTGATAATAAATGATAATAAATAGTATATTACTGGTTACATATGTAAATAGTCTCGAGGCGAATACACGCCGGTTATTTTATTCGAAAACAATGTACTTTAATTACAACTTAATACACAAGTATACATTCCATATTATGCACATGTTTGTAGATGTTCTTGTCTAAATGAGACTGAAATTTCGGCGCTGGTAAACTAGAAGGGCGGTCCAGGGGGTTTCGTTGATAAAACGATGCATGCATTGTTCAAAACGCCAAAGCAGGTAAGCCGAAAACATCTATTTTGCTTTTGTGTCGTATTGAGTATTCACAAAGTATGTGGTCAATGTGCCTTTTCCTTTGACGAACGTAGGACCTCTACATTCGCAGTCATAACCGGCCGCCATCAGGATTTTTGCTGTGTCTTCGGTCACCTGCATTCAAAATGCATTTACGTCTTAACATTAATTTGTAAGAATATTAAAAAAAAAAAAAAAATGGGAAGGCTGTACCAAAAAAATGTTTAACAGTTTTATAGAAGGCGCCCAATGTGAATGTGGAGAATTAATAAAAACTATGAGTTATGTTTAGAAATATTTTAACCATAAGAGGTATTATGTTGTAAGGTTTCTCGTAAGCATCTCGGAAGGTACTATAAATTGTTGCTGGGAATTAGGGTAAATAATATTAGGGTAGCTTCGGAGGCTACCTTGCGTTTAGCATTGCTCATTACTTTCTCATAAGGGGTTTGAATAGAACATTACTGTATTACTGTTGAGATGCTTTTTCCAACCGATTACGATCTCAACTCTATTCAGCTTGGCTTTTCCAAAAGTATAAGCTGATATTGGATATATATATGTATATATTTTTTTTGGATATTAGGTACATATCAAATTCAAATATTCAAATATCAATTCTTCTTTCCACGGATGGTAGGAACCTCGACCATCATTTAACGTCATAAAACTCAATCACGTAAGCACTCCCGTACCATCCCTTCTGTCTTGTATATTTTTATTTGTTCATGATTACAAAGCATAGTTCGAAACCTGTATTCTGCCCATGGTCCCACAACTGTCCATTCTTGAGGCCACGTTCACAGTGTTGCCCCAAATGTCATATTGAGGTTTTTGCGCTCCGACCACGCCGGCGATGACAGGCCCGTGGTTTAAGCCTATTCTTAGTTTGAACCTCTGAAAGGATTCGCGGTTTATTTGTTCCAAAATCGTCATCAACGCTATAGCAAACTCCACCAGGATGACAACGTTATGCTCTTGCTGTCTGTCAGCTGCCTGTAGACAAAAAAAATAATGAATGAGCATTTTTCAACAACAAAATATAATAATACTTTTTCAACAGATTTGAATGATTTGTTTTAATCGACGGCTAAGGTTAACGCAGAAGTCTGAAGAGACTTCGAATGTCAACAAGAGTTTACTCAAACGCATACCTATAACTAATTGAATGTTGACCATTATATTACTTTACTTACTTTTTAAAAATTAATATTTAAAGAATATGTTTTTTCGCTGTACATTACTTCAATGTCTGTGTAATAATTCTTTGTTAAAAAAAACATGGAACATTTAAGTAAAAAGCTATTTATCTTTTGCTTCGCTGTGTGTCAACACTAGGGAAATAAATACACATTAGTATGTAAAAGCTTTGAAGACATTCAGGTACTCAAGGTTTAGCCAAGTTTTTAACCTTGTCACTTAGTATGAAATAATTGATGGTATATTGGTATCAGGTATGGTTTTACTAAAATATATATATAATAATATATACTTGTACATAAATTATTATCCTAACTTAATTTTCGTAAGCCTAATACATTTTATGGTTTACACGAATATAGATATTAAATGATTTTTTTAACAGTGTTGAAGTCTTTCGACCTTACAAAATTAGGATGAGTTAACAAAAGACATTAGTTATGAAATACATTTACAAGGGTAGAATTACCTAAGGGTAGATCACCCCTCATTAAAAATAAATTGGTAGTTAAAATAAAACCTCACTAGTTTTTATTGTGTTTTTATAAAAAAAATATTACCTTCATATTTTGTAATTGTATTACCTTTAACGGTAGGAATTCATTAAATTTGTCAAAAAACTCATGTGGTAGTAATACATTTTGGGTCAAATATTTAACCTACCCACTCACTATCCTTTTAAAATGGTTGACACAACTGCATTAAAATTGAACTGTGTAGGCCTGCCATTGACCAATAATGTAATTTAATTGTTATATAATACACAATAATTAATAATGTTTTATTATACAACTTGCCTTTGATTTGCTGTCTTCTTTGCCGGGCCTTAGGCCGGATGCTAGCATGTACGTGCTTCCGATGGTCTTGATTTTTTCAATTGAACTAAATTTGGGTTTTAACAAGAGCTAAAAAAAGGATATTGTTTAAATAGTTGCGAACGCCTGAGACAACACGAATACGGTTTTTACTTTGTCAAAATCGCATATGATTTCGTTCAGCAGCCGCAGGCACTCGAGGCCTTGTTTGTTGACGTCGTTTTCGTCGTAAAACTCTTTGTAATTGGGTATGGACGCGAACATGACCGCAATACAACTATACCTCTCGTGGTACAGATCCTGAATGATAATCATAAATATTAATGCATGTCCATAAAGGTTCGAGGGTCGTGTTGTAACGGACTTGCAGCACTTGTTCCCGGAGGAAATGCTCGGCAACGTGGGCCGGCAAAATGTTTTCCAATAGTATCTTGTTGATGCCACGCATTGTTTCCACTTCTTCTTGTTCCACTTTCAATTTTGCCCGCCACAGAAAGTCCGTCCGGGCAGACAGTTCGTTTTTTCTGTCCAACATGTGAAATATGACCACCAAGAGTGCTATGGGAGCCCATATTTTCAACTGCCAAGGCATTTCGCTGCAAACAAACGCATGATAGGGTGAAACTCTTGGTGAAAATAACATGAAAGGTTTCACTCACTACTCGTTGAATTCTTTAAAATGATACTGAAACAACGGCAAAGTCTGGTACACGGATAGGTGCAGGGTAGAGCACACGACCATGATGAAAAGTTTTAGGGTGATGCCGATCCGGAGAAAGGCGGACATTAACGTTAGCGCCAGGATTGTACTGTACAGGAACGCCTGGATAACACAAGGGAATATTAGGTAACAAAGGGTGAAAAAGCGTTTCGCTGTTGACTTACCGAAACAATAGATGACGAGTCGACTTGTGGGTTTTCGGACAAGTTTAATAAATTAGTCGCGTTCGACGTGAAATCGATGGTCTCGTTCACGTAGCCGGCACGACCAACGTACTTGTAATCCGTATCTAACTAAAACAAACATGTTTGGCATCGAACATATTAACAATGCGGATTTACTGTCGGCAAACCTTGTATGTATACTTACCAAGGTGATTATAGCGCAGATTCCCACCAGAGCGGAGCTAAGCAAGAATATGGACATCCGAAGCCATCTGGAAGAGCCTACAGACACGTTTTCTTGGGACACACAGTCGTCGTCCGGTATCCAACTGACGTAGGCGAATACACTCAGTGCCACGAGCGAAGCCCCTTGAGCTCCCCACATTGTTAAAGTCCTGACACACACAAACAAAAGACGAGCAAATGCGTTTAAAAGATATGAAAGCCTAAATGGAAAAAGGTAGCATACTTAAAAATGTCTGAAGCTAACAGTACCGGACTAAACAATTGACATTTCACTAACAAAAAGTAAGATTTCTAAACTTAACATAATTTTTTTTTGTAGTCACGTTTGTAAACAAGCTTATTTGCACTACAGATCTAGATCCCAAGATGTAGCATCGTCATCATCAACATGTAGCATAACACCTCGGCGATCTCGTTTGTACTGATAAATATATCGAATAATTTTACCTTTAACCCGTTATTCCTAAGTGGTAACATTTGTGGTGTTAAGACTTCAAACAAATAATAATATAGTTAAATGCGATTAGGTTTGTAATTTTTACCAAATGTCGACAAGAGTCTAAGCGATTCTATCCTTTCGATCTTAGAAATTTTTTTACGATTGAATGTTTTAAATGTAAGGTCATTTGCCCAAAAAAACATTTATGAACTATAAGTAAGTTGACCTTCTAATCCTCTAACTGCATCATAACTAACGAATCTCGAGTTTTCATTTTATTTTTAATAGTTTTCAGGAACTTACAACTTCCCGGCACAAGTTGTATTTTTGGTATATTGAGAATCGCCGTCGTTATTTGGTCAAAAATATGTAAACAAAATGATTTCAATAAAATACAAATGTCGCCACTGTAATTGTATTATATTATATTGTATTTATATATATATATATATATATTAGTAAATATTATATTGCTCGGTAAGCACGCGTCGATATGACTATACTTTGAGAAAACTCACTTGGGAATCAAAAGTTGCTGAACAAGAACCATGCAAATGAATAGTATTAGGGCCACCGAACTATAGTACTTGTAAAACGGGTCGGCCTGGTTTCTGTATTGCGATTCTTGAACACCGTTTTTGAACCACAAGCAAACCGGATTGAAATCTTCCATGTTGTACCATTTTCTGAAAACAATAAAGGATTCATTGACTTATGTGGTATTGTGCGAAATCAAAACTAAAAAAAAATACACACTCACTTGCAATCTAAGCACGCGCTTTTGGACGGTAGTAAATTCGACTCGATCATAGCTAAACTCTAAAAAAACAAAACGGCTCCGTTTAAAAGATATAATTTATGAATATTAGCCGTACATATTATACTTATATTGCATACCGTAAGTCCGATATTTTTGGCCATAGTGCTTTCGGTTATGTTAGCGAACGGTTTGTCTGCTCCCCAGCACTCGATGTATTTGGTCATTTTGCTCGGTGATCTGTTTCTGTTCAATCCATCGTCCTGAACGGGTCCGCCATTTTCCGTCTGTTGGCCTCCTCTGGATTGTAACGAGTTTCCGTTCCCCTGTAGGAAAAAACAGTATTTAAACGATAGAAACAAAGTAAAAAAAAAACATTTGTTCTTATCGATTTTATATCGAGTAAACTGACTGTGAAAAAGCCAGCATGACGAGCTGACGGAGAATATTAGGACCAGAGTGGTCACAAGTTTTGTAGGAATTATTCTTACTGAAAGTGATCAAATTACTTTCAAATAAACTCTAGGTATGGTGCAAAACTATAAACATTTTCGAATATAAATTTAAATCATTTCATCTATATATATAAAAATGAATGTCTGTTTGTCTGTCCTTTATGCATTAGGACACCATTCATCCCATCGCCATGAAACTTTGGGAAGTTGTTGAGTACACTCCCGCGAACCTTTTTTAGTACTTTTTTAAAAATTCCACCCCTAATGGGTAGCCTCAAACACGAACTTTGTACTTTAAATACGAAATGTAAATAAATTTAATGTTTGTAACCATGGTAACCCAAAATAAACACTTGGTTTGTAACCACGGTACAATGGGAATTATTTTACTCAGCCCTGGCAGACTAAATCTCGGGCAACGCCGGGTCCGGACCGCTTATAAATAATAAGTGTTTAACGATATAGTAGTAATAATAATAATGTGTCATTTGTTTTTTTTTTAATTTTTCAGCCTATTTTTTTACTTGCTAGAAATGCTATCAGTCTAATTTTCAGGCCCTGAGGGCTAAAACTAAAAACGCAAAAAATAAATTTAAAACATTAATCCCTTATGGATGGAAAAGGTCGATGACATTTAATTGGTTTTTGACTGTATATGTGTAGTGCTGTACTAATGAGGATATCCTTTGACGTGCAAAGTGTTAAGTTTACTATAGAATTTTTGTAAACAAACGTCCAATAATATTAAAATTATTTTCATGTAAATATATAGGATGCAAATCTTTGTGTAAAAGTTACATTGTGTATGAGGTCAGTTGAGTAGTAGTTTTCAAAGGCCGGACGTCCTATAAACCCTTCAGCAAACATTGCACATATATTTTCAGAAAATGGCTTACTAATTCCTTTGAGAAATTTAATCTTAGAGATAATTTTCCAACACACGTGTATTTCTTTGTATTTTTATGAGCGCTAGAGTTTTTTTTATCTCACTTTCTTTTTACTTATTATTTTACAAATTAATTTACCGCAGCGGCTGGGCAATGTATACGATTGAACTAAAACCAAAATTTTAGGCGAAGTAAACAAAAGAAAATGTAAATCATATTCACAATAATTTATCACTTTACCGGTTTGTAAAAATAAACGACTCATTTTATACCTAAACACACAAAGGATAGACGTAGAAACTAGAAAGATAGATATCGTGCAAGTGACAAGTATCTAAATTGTTTGTGCTGTGGGTATAGTTGGGTTCATCATGGGCATACAAATTCATGTAGGTACATTATATTATGTAGGGAGTACTTTGACATGATTTAATGTAAACAAATTAATCTAAATAAACATTAGAGAGAAAAAATATTGTGGTTAGTAAAAAAATGTCGAGTATCATGGAATTACTTTAAATAAAATACGGTATAAATCTACTGTAACTGGGAATAGTATTTGTGTAGTAATTTTTAAAAATAAAAAAAAGGTTAGCATACGCTTTAGTATGTTTAAATAGTGACACGTGACACGTCAAAAAAAGTTTAAATAATTCAAAAGATTGGACACTTTAGACAATAGTGTAAAAAAAAAACAAGACTTATATCCCTCGTTAACAATGCATTTTCATGAACAATGCAGAGGGGAACTGAAATGTTAAACATGACTAAACATGAAAACAAAGCAAACACACATGACGGGCTCACTGAGATGGATAACCTTTTTTTATAATTGTATAAAAACAGTAAAATATTTGTTCACAAGCTATTTCACATGCAAATCTTCAAAGTGATAAAACATCAAATTATGTATACCGATGCTGAATTCTTGGGCTTTACTTTAGACTTCAAACGACGTTTTCACACAGTGTAAAACAATGTTCCTATCCTTGAATGAATATAATGTGAACAATAGTTTTATATAATAAAATAATTCAAACTATAACCCATGTTTCCAAATCCATACCCACTTATGGATATACAAGTAAAATATATTTTACGCGCGTGTATTTCTTGTGCGTCCCATGTATAATGAATGTACAGGTACAAAATAATATAGAAAAATGAATTAATTATAATTTTTTTGATTTTATGATAATTTGGAATATTTACTGACTGTGCACACTGGGTAATAACGTAAACAAAATATACAGTAAACTGTAAAGTCACTGGAGTTTAAAAGGTCACATGTATTATATACTGTATGCATACTTGATACTATACATATTGTAGACATACTCTATACTCTATAGTACGTCAGACAATAAAACTTGATAGTGAATGTAGATTAAATAAGCCAAGGCGTCGTGGAAGAGTTAAGGACAATAGATGCAGCGGAGGGCCGGACCGGACCAGAGAAAAGATTTATATTAAGGTTTAATTTAAACCGCGCCGTAATTCGCGTGTTTCATTGTTGAAGCTGGCGCATTGTCTAGGTACACTGTTTTATAAATACAATGTGTTATATTTTATATATACTTACTAAATTTTTTAAGAAAAACGTATTATTAATATTTATTACCCACCTTTACTAGCCCTTCGATACATAACCTGCTATTGGTGAGCTTAAAGCTTTCAAAATGTCGGAGGCGTTTAATGAAAAGTAAATAATGACGAAAGAAAAAAAAAAAATTACCAAAAAATATTTTATGGTTTGCCTTTTACGGCGGCGGCATCGTAAAAGAAAGTAAAACGTACCCGGCGCAGACTGCTTAAGCGAATAAAAAAAAAGCAACAACAATACAAGCCAAGTAATAAGGCCGCGGCTAGATCCTTTCAGTCTCATTAAGCTTGTGGTTTAATTTCTTTAACGGCCGGCAACCCTCGAATATTATCTTTTTATTGCCAATCTCTTTTGTCCACGGGACATCCTACCTACCATCGTTAGGCCTTTGACGCCGAAATAGTTTTTCGAGTCCGAGAGACATAGGTTTGATTGGGCGGCAAACTAAAGGTCGCGCCGGTGATGGATGGGCTCGGTGCAAGTATAATGCAGTAGGTAAAATGCCAACGGCCTTGAGAGGGATGCCACATTGCGTGTTTATGTATGGGACATTTTTTAATAAAACTCGATGTTAACGTTTTTTTAAAGTCGAATAATGTTTATTTTTTTCAGTCATAAAATACTAGTTTTTTGGATAAAAAAAAAATCAGTAGTCGTTTAAATAACTTAACATTTTTGGAAAAACTTAAATATACTACTCGGAGTACCCAAAATTACATACAAAATTACACCCTGAGCAAAATGTACAAGTTTTTGCACTTTACAAAGTTATATTATAACTCTGGCTGAAACGATTGTATTACTAACAATTGGCCATGTGAAAATTCAGATAAATTTTTGTACAGATGTACTTAAACACTTTCAAAGCCGTTAAGTTTTCCCGAAAAGTGCATTTTCACATAGAATGTGGCGTAACGCATTTGGTTGGGTTTTGTCCACATGAGTTTTGCGCAAGAAATTAAAACCATCGTTTACGCTAATTGATATCGGATACTCACGTTTTGTTCAGACGGGTGTATGATGAGGAAAGTTTCGACTTTGTGGTCCGCCAAGTAACCTTCCCTGGAGCCGCCGTTGCCGGGTTCCACGGCGAATCTGCCGTTTAGCTGTTCCATGGTGGCCCGAGTTATATGCACGCGGCTGCAAACAAGCCGACGTTCCATAATTAGCATACATAAACGCTACACATCGACTACTATTATCAATATTATAATAGTGAAAAAGCGCGCGGTCAAGTCAAACGCCGTGTTTGTAAGTTTTTTGCATTATCACAGCGCCCACATCTTCTAACGTGGGAGTCCGCTGTACAAAGAAAGAGAGAGAGAGAGAGAGAGAGCAAGGTGTAATTCTATCGCCTAGTAAACTGCAATAATGCGCGTAGGAAAAATCACAAATAAAACAACTGTACATGAACAAACCTAAATGATTTTAGTAAAAGATTGATTTACCGTAGTTTATATCGGTTGATTTAAATTTAAAACTAGCGCAATTGGGTCGGAGAGGTCATAGAGGTGTTAAGAAACTATTTTAAGACCACTTAAAAAAAAAATAGCTTTGATGCGAAACTGTAGATGGTAAATGTGTTTATTCATCAATACTACATAATGTTTTTGTTTTGATTAATTCTTTTTAAATCATATTTTGTTAATAACTCTCAAAGGATTAATTTTATGAAAAATTATTCATATGTCACGTGTCGTAAAACTAGTGTTTCATGTTTAAAAATAAATCGTATTGTCACATTTGTTTTAAACTACTATCATAAAAAATGATTACTGTCTAATTTAGTTTTTAAATTATTCATACATGTGACCTTCATGCACATATAAAATTACAATGATATAATATTATTTTGTTAGTTTAAAGTAGTCATGGAAACAAAAAATGCGACCATCTACTCTTACATTGGCTACAATGAGCAATAATGACACAACATGCAAAATATATCTCAATATTTATTTAAAATCAAGTGAAATAAATATCATGGAGTTTATTTTTTTTCAGTTAATATAATATGCGTTTATGTATGCTATTACATTGTACAAGAGCATAATATATCATAGTATACTATACAATAGCAGTATTACACTTAACGATATTGATAAAAGAAAAAAACTTGCAGGGTTGTACCACTTGTATGATAGTTGTCTGTCAGACGATTAAATGTAATATTATACTTTATTCATGAACATAATATATGAATGAATAGAATTGTATAGTATCTTGGAGTGACGGTCCTCGTTGTCGACTTTTACTTATAGACACTCGACAAAAAGATATTACATTTTTGTAAATACCTACGTTGTATTATGCGTTTTGAATGTTCATTTCATGTTTGCAATATTGACAGAAACTACTTTTCGGTTTAAACAAGTTTTATTGAGGTTTATTAAATACCATTTTATTGTTTCGACTTTCATGGAACACCGAGTTTTTTATCAGTTCTAATAAAAACTCAATTTCTATATAAGGTTCGCAACGAATCTTGTTGGTTGTAATATATTTTTATTGTGACTTTATTTCTGCAGCTAGATCTTGTCAGCATTCCAATAAAAAAAAATTAAATCCGAAAGTCATTTTTTATACAACATTCGTCATAACACAAAGACATTTTAAAATAATATCTTACTTACGTATAAACTATTAAGCGTTTGTCTTTAAATAACTTAAAGTATAACATTTTTAGTTTAAGTTGTCCATTTGTATTTCTGTAATTATTTTTGTACTCGTATTTTATTTTGAATTAATGCCCTTTACTCTACTTCAGGCGCAGGCCGTAGCCCGCTTTATTAATAATAATAAATAAGTAATATGGACGTAAATGTTTTTAAAAGTAATAACCATCAAACAAATTCTAAAAAATATACTTTGTTTTCTAAAATTGCATAAATGTTTTTATTCGTGAACATTAAGATATTTTTAATTGTACCACAACTACTTACAACCATAAACTAACATAATTTAATTAACAATAAAAGCATTTTATATACATCGACAATTTAGTAAATATAATAGGTACCAATAATAGGTATAATGTTTCAAAACATTTTTTGTTGAAAATATTTTTTTTTTTTTAATTATCCTTAAACAGGTTTTGTAATCAATTAAGGATACTCGTACTCGACTATTGAGCGATATTTGCTGATAATCGAACTAACTTGTTTTGACAGAAAACCGTTTTTTGCGATAAAAGATTTGAGAGGCATTACGGCGAAACGGTGATGTCTGTGTAATTATTATTAACTATCTAATAACATTATTGTCGAATGCGTTCGATGTTAACGGCAAAAGAAGCTAGAGTATAATATTATGAACCGTTATCGTTTGTAATTGAGTGATCGCTTGTCAACGATAAGGCTTTGCTGCGATGGAAATTACACCTCCCAGGAGAGATAAAGCTCGACGATGCCATAAGACGTCAAACGCACGCTTCCGCCCTTTTCGTAGTATTTAAGTTAACACCGCCATAATAATAATCAATGGTGTACCGGCTTTTATTGGCCAAATGCGATTGCCAGCGTAGTTGAAATTACAGGACTATGCGAAATGAACGCTACGATGGAAAGTTATTACATCCATACCACTTACAATCAGACGCGGGTGATATTTACAGGAGGGTTAGGAAATCGTGCATTTGGATATGTCACGCTCGATTTAAATCGCATACGCAGGAAGTGTGAAGAAAGTTGTAATTGTTCAACGACAACTTGCTTTGCATACCGTACACTTGGCTATACTTATCTCGCTAGTCACTTGTACTTATAGTCACTACACTGAGTAAGTGTTCGGCCAACTAGTTTATCGACTATACAACCAAAATACAGATCTCAACAGGGCAGCTGCGAGACTTTTAAATACAAGTTTGTATGGCGCTCAAAACAATTGTAACGGTAGGTATAGTTTTAGCAGCGAACACAAATTGTGTATTTTTAATGTAATCGAACAATCAGTTGAAACAATACTGTCCGTACAAGTGTTAGCGGTTAAAGTGAGAAAACAACGAGAATAATAATTATATTATATACTATATGAGAAATACAGAAAGGATGAGTGGTCTGAAAGAAGTTCGCTTTTCGTTTAGCATCGATCGGTTGGTACTGACTATTGTTATTGTTTTTTAAATCTGGATTTTTAACAAAATTCTATTGTCCGGAAAATTTAAATCAAGCAGAAAACAATGAGAAATGGTCGATGAGTTAAATAATTAAAACGAATCAAGTATAATATATTTCCTTTTAAATCGGCAATCGTATTACGAAACAAGGTTTTTAAGTTTCAGCGAAAAAAGATTAATTTAAACTTCACTTATATTTAAATATTCGATTATCGTGGAATTATGTAAAAACAAATCCCCGTCTACAAATATATTAATTTTTGGACTTTCAACAGTTTTGACTAAGGGTAGGTAGGACTAATGTAGGACGGCAATTGTTAAAATAAGACAAATCTCGTTTTAAAAAACTAAAAAATAAATGCTAGGTAAATCTAGGCTTACACGAAATATAGCAACCATACAATGGTTAACTAGCTACGGTCTAGCTGTTTATATATAAACGCAACATGGATAGTAACCAACAGCTGTTGATGAATGACCCCGTTGACAAATGTATATGATAAATATAATTTCGGACATCATAAGGTGGTATAATTATTATTATTATTATTTAATGATGATAACAATCAACAAGGTAAAAGTGGCCTTTGATTTTATTTCAGTTTTTAAATATTAAATACATGATTTGAAAAACAAAAGTGCGACCTTTTCAAAATAATCTTAGAAGGTCAAACCTCACTAGGGCCATTTCTTTTAATTTGAACATACGCGCTCCTGACAGTTGGCAAATAAGTAATAGCTATGAAATTTCCCTTTGACTACACGGCTGGTTCGGTGGTTAAATTAATGACATGCCACAGCGAAATCGTAAAACGGTTAGACGACCGACTTGTTATCACAGCTGTTTCGCTGCCAATGTATTTATGTATCTTAGATAATATGCAGGATAGAATATGCTATATGCTGTAAATTGAATAATTTAATACGATCACAGAGGCTAGGATTTCGGGATTTTCTCTTTAACTGCAAACAAACTCGATTCTCTTCAAAAGGACACATAGTATAAATATTGACCTTCTGGCGAGGCACACTTAATGAGAAAAGGGCTGCATGTAGGTACTTACCCGGGTACGCCGCCGGATTCCATGTGATTGGCTAGTGTCACGTCGTCGCTCCATACGTCGAACTGCCACTTCCTAAGTCCTAGCACACCACACAGCACGTTGCCTGTGTGTATGCCAATCCGCATGTCTACATTGAAACCAGCAGCTTCTCTGACAAACCTTAAAAAAAGGTCATTTTTCTAACCGTTAAAATTCTTACCAATAGTTATTTGTGGTTCTTTTAAAGATCTCAATAGAATATTTTTTATATATTGACATATTCCTTTCAAAGTACAATCATTTTTTTGCGATTACATAATGGTATTTTTGCTCTAAGACCCTCGTGGATTGAGTAAAAAGCAATCTGCGGAGCTATGTTTTGGTGATAAAAACTAGCTGATTCCTCATTGAATTGTAATTATTTGTTTAAATCAACGTACACGATATTTTTAGTTTTCACTCATACTTAATTTTTTTCCTTGGAAAAACTGCCTATACTCGACTACCCGGTAAATAGGAGGTATAACGTCTTTTTAACAACTTATTTATTTCAAACGAGCGAAGCATATTTTCATGCTGTCCCTAAGTTCATTCGTTTATCTGGTATAGTTTCACGGCTGTTGGCAATTATGTAACTCGTTTAATATTTGAAATTTGTTTCACTTGGAGGATTTCCGTTGTTGTGTAGGTAAGTAAACAAAGTTATGCGTTTTATAATATATATATATATATATATACATTGTAATTTAGCCTTTGTGAGTTCCAAAGCGTTTATTCCGTGCCGCGCTTCAAACGGAGAACCCGGTCGAGTGTGACACAGTATTATATTATGACAAAGCAAGGATATGCGATCGACTAACGGTAGTCGCTCTATAGTGTACCTACCATATAAGTAAATATTAATTTCGTCTCTTCGAGCCATAGTAATTGAACGTGTACGCCGTCAGTTGTAATACAAGTTTTCCATAAAAAAATGTTCTAAACGATATAAGAGGATCAAATGATAAAAGCGATCGGCTCAATATAATGATGAAAAATATTAAATTTATTATAAATTATTTGTTTGTATTTTTTTTTAATCTCAGACACTCGACAGAATCAACTTTCCTACTTTCTTTGCACACGTTACAAACAACATTTATGACGAAATCTCGTAAAAAATGTTATGCCATGTTTATAGGCAGAAAAAAGTTAACGAAAATATGTATCGATTATCTTGTTTGAGAGTTATAAAAATTAGAAACGGCAGCTTTACATATTATCACATATTTATGAATCATAACCGAATAACGCATAAAAAAGTTATGCTTTATTCTACACATCTTTTTTTTCGAGTCCTCGCGATTTCGCACATAACTAAAATAGTGCATTTATTACTTACACGATTTCGTAATTGAATATGTATTTTTTTAAACAAATAAACAAATGGTAATTGTTTCAAAAGTTTATAGGGAATTTTGGTATTTTGAAATCGTTAAGGTGTTCTAACACCAACTAATAAAATTTCCCTAATGCAGCAAAAAACTTATTGAATTCAATAGGAAATATCTTGTGTTGGTGTTGGCTTTTCTCGTTTGTTTCTATTTTTAGTGCCCCCGATCACCACGGTATGGTGACCATACGATCAGCCACGAAAAAAAACATTAGGTGTAGGGTACCTAACTCATTTTCAGCAAAATCCGAATTAGGCGGTGTTAGAATTCACATCGCGAATGTTTACTAGCTTAAACAATCTTACCTGATGGCTTCGATCATCTGCAAGCCCATGTTGACACAGTTGTAAGCGTGATTCGGTCTGGACACGGGCAGGCCGGAAACACAGTAATAACAATCGCCAAGAATTTTTATCCGCATGCACTGGTTGTCCTATACAACGAAAAAAACAATCCTTAGAGTCAGTGAGTTTATAGCGCTAAAAAACGCACGACCAAAGATATGTGTGTTTCGACTATCTTAAATCAAATATGACAATCGTTTCCTCGACTATTATGCATGGGTGATGATTTTTTTTTATACATTTTAATTATTACATTCACCTTAAAAACCAAAATCCAGAAATATCTATTTAATTAGGCACATAGATGAAGTTTCTTTAATTTTTTAATAGGCGATTTTGCTTTAAACATGTAGCCGTATTTCTATCAACGTTAAAAATAGTTATGTATTTTTTCAACATTTTACAAATTAACTAAGAAATTTTAGTTCTTCTTCTAACGGCAAGGCCGGGTGTTTTTTTTTTTTTACACAAAAAGGTATAGGTTGTATACTTATGTCTTTTTGTGTAAAAAAAAAATAGATTTTTAATAGATTTGTCCTCGAATACCTCTTCTATCTCACCAATTTTGAAAGACCATTTCCCTTTTCTAGGTGTACTCGACATTCACTTATCATGTTGAGTGCTATAGTTTTCAATATGTTATATTTAGGCTCAGATCCGTGTTAAACCCCATTTGACGGATTTTGCTAATAATTTTGTTGACATACTTATATCCACCGCAATCAATCATAAAGCAAAAAGGGTAATATATACTTTATTCCCAAGAGGGAAAGGATCTTGGGGGTTTAAAATTTTATCTTTAAGTATAAAAAAGACAGAAACGCATTACTATAGCTTCGACGCGAAACTGAGAAGGTATTTTGGTTAAGTATTGAGATGTTTGTATAAGAGTAATTTTATATGAATTTATTGCAACAATATGAAACACTTTGAAAATGTTATAGGCTATAGCAAGCTAAAAAAGTGAATCATAATTCCTAGGGAATTTAAAATGTATGGTGACTGTTGATAATAGTTGTTTAGGTGTTTTGTTTTATAAAATATTATTAAAATGATTTTCCATCAGTTTACGTGTTTCGTGTGAATATCTCCGTCAAATCACGAGGAGCAACTGCTATATAAACTTATAAAAACCTTTCTTTAATGTTTATTCCAGACGGTAACAAAATGTACCAGATCGATTCTTGGAAATATACATCACCTATAGCCTAATCAAGAAAAACTAATGAGCTGACAGACGTTCTTAGAAATTTGAACTGCAATAAACGGCAAAATAGGGCATTTGTGGTATCCGTATGGATTCAAAATATTAACAACACTTGTCGATTAAATAGTCTAGTTCACATCCTAATGATGGTTTTATACAACTGAGGTCAGCTTTACCAATTCCAAATATTTAGTATACTGCACACACTTTTTCATGTATTCATTTGTAAGTTTAAACATCAGCCATCCTCTTCTCTTCAATCCACCTATACTTTTGAATTACCTCTCTCACCTGTTCTATTATTTCAATTATTATTCCCTTTCTTTCGACAAAACAAAACCGTCTCAACCTATTCTATCTATATCGTCTTCCATTCTTTAAGCACAATTTTCAATGCATGTCTTATCTATTTAAGTCTAAAACGTAATTGGTCGTGTTTTATTAAAAGTATGCTATTGGCGAATTAAAGAAATATTACACTATTAAATAATATACATTATACATATATTGTACATGGTGTATTTAACCCTTGGTGCACATTGTTTCCACATTTTAATATGTTATACATTATGCTTTAGGTCTACAGCAACTCATGTCAGAAATTATTACACTTATTTAAATACGTTTTCAAATAAAATTACAAATTAAACATAGATGTTTAAAAATATAAAACATAACATGTTTTAAATGTAATACAGAATGATACGAATTATGAATGATCATTTTTTGTTTCAAACAAGAATTGTATTAAAAGATAAACATGTTTTTTAATGTTTAATTAGGGATACAAATTGTTTAAAATATAAAACATAATATTAGCATCCCTCCTACATATTGTGTAGGTATGCGTATTGTAAATTCGAGAGTAAAAAATGTAGTAATTGTAAAACTTTTGCTCACATCTTGCTCGTTTGTATAATTTCAAAATTTTATTTACAAATAGGCATGTACAATGTACATAGTCTGGGTCTGGATTTTTTCCGGTACGTTGTAATAGGTATCTATGTATAGTCCATTGTACTGTATACTTTTAAGTAAAAACGTTTATGATAACGATATTTTATGCTGACCTAGCACGCTTCTTTTGCATTTCGAAACTATGAATTCTTGTTTCCAGAAACTTGCCTTTTTTTTTAATTCACGGTTGAATTTTTTCCCTTTCAAATAATCCGATTGAGAATCGCTTTCTTTGAAAAATTACACCCCAATCGAAGCAAACCGTAATGTTCTCCACAGACTTTTGAAATTTGAGTTATAATATAATCGATTAAATTTAAAAACATTAGCGGGATTAAAAAATAAATATATTGTTAATCTACGTGCGTATAATGTTTGAAGACAAGAAATATTAATTGTTCTGCCTTGATAACGTGTAATCTTGGCGAATAAGTCGATATATGTATCGAAATGTACTGCTTTAAGAATATAAACAATAAAACAGAGTAGCCATATTTAATCAGAATTTTAAATAAAACCGCTTGTACGTTAATAATACAAATTGTTTGCCTACGTTTACGATGTACATTGGCACATAACCTGCGCAATACATTTTTACACTTAATAAATTGTCGATTGTTTTGTATATTATGTTTGATTATTAATCTGATTGATATAATGTCGTGCACGTATTGTGTTGTACGTTGATAGTAATGTATAATACAGTACAACTATTAATGTTTTATAGTACAAATATATAGTTAGTATTTGTAAACGATTTATTATAAACAAATATATTTTGTACCTGGGCTATTTGATCAAAGCGGCCAAACAGTTCATTGAGAGTCTTGACGAGATCCGACGCAGACAGTTGTTCCGACAATGGAGTAAAATTTACTATGTCTGCATACAAAATACTGAAAAAATGTCAAATATTACACAAGATTTATATATAGGTGAAGAGAAACCCGATACACTTCTTAAGTAACAATACGCTATTTTCAAACTATCTTTAGGTTTGCTAGGTTCCAAAACTGTCTACAGATAGACACAAGTTATTGTGACGCATGGCATGTCTGTTAAACATTTAATTTGTGCTTAAAACAGAAAAAAATGCACAAGTACAAAAAACATTTCAGGGATTGATCATTCGTTAAAATAGGGTTTTAATTTAAATTACTTATATTCGGTGAAATATGATGCCTAGAAATCTGTATTTCTATTGTAATTATCGTAGATTATTAAATTTTAACTTTCCAAAAAATGGTAAAATAACATCGTTGTTTTATTATTTTCATGCTTCCTATAACAACAAAAACATGACATAACATAGTTCGATCATAGTTGTTTAAAACAATAGTACAAAACTGAGCATAATAGTTTAACCGCGTTTAATTTTCTAGTTTGGTTACTTATATTGGCAGTTTTTAATGTCAAAATCGATAAAACAAAAAATAAACAGCGTTTTGCGTTAATTAATAATACATTGTTATTGAATCGTAAGTCGCTTATATGCATAAGCATCAGTTTTTAATTTTAGACTTTGGTTTACAAGAAAAACAATTTACTCATCTCCTCTTACCTAACGTTGTTGTGCCGTTGCACGTACATTTCGTGAAATCTTGTCTGCTTATTGGTCACATCATCCTGACACGCATCAGCCATTTTCAGCATTATACTTCTTTTTACCTAAAACCCAACATTTGTTGAGAAATATATATGAAAATAGGTACATATATCTCTGGACAAAATGGCAAATTAACTTATTTTATTAACTTAAAATAAATGAACAACGTTTTTACAACATTGTTGTAAACCGTATTTTAATAGGATTAGGACGCATTTACTTTGGCTATGTTATTTTTTTTATTGGGATAAATTAAATTTATACACAATTTCATTAAAAATAAATAAAAAAGCTTTGGTTTAATAGTATATGCGAAGATGCGTTTAACCGTAAAAAAATCCATAAAGAAGAGCGATTGAATGAAACTAGAAATGAGAAAAAAGCTGCCAGATATAGATTAAGAAAAGCAAGCATCGTTTTAAGGCGTCAAAATAGAAAGTATGTCAAAAATATAATAAACAATCTACAAATAGATTACGGAAATCATAAAACTAGAGATTTAAACTGTAAAATATCTTCCTTAAGTAGGGGTTTTAAAAGAACTATTGCGAAGAATATTGGAATGGATATTATTGAGGAGAAATGATTCGATGTGATGTTTTATTCAATAGACAATAAACAAATTCACCCTTATACATTTAAGCGAGTCTAGCGGTTAAAATATTTAGGAACATTAATAATGTAAAATAACGAAATCCAAAGGGAGATTAAGTGAAGAAAACAAGCTGGGAATATATTATGTTGTTTTAGGACGAATATTTTACTGCGCTCTATGATAATTTCAAAAATACACTTATATGAAATATGGACACTTCGCAAAACGTATGGAAATGTACTTCTGATACTCGAAAGAAAAATTTCGAGAAGAACTTTTGGACCATGCATGGACGAGACAACGCGGGAATGGAAAATAAAGAAATTAAACAATTATATCAAAGGCTAAATATTATAGAAGAAAATATAACGAAATGAGCTGGACATGCTTTGTCCAAGACAGGAACATTAATTGTATAGCGTAGTTTGGTATTCCTTAAAGGAAAGATACCTTTAGGGCGACAAAAATTACGGTGGGAAGGTAAAGTTCGCAAAGACTGTGAAAAACTATAGCCTGCAATTTATTGGAGAGTGGCTGCAATCAACAGAGAGGAGTGCAGTGAATTATGCTTATCGGGATGGTCTTAATAATTGGCCGTAAGCAGAAGATATATATTTTAGCATAATATAGAATGATTACAATGAATTAATTCAGGAATCTGTTATTGATCTCCTGTTAAGTATTTTATTTGCGATTAATTAAATTTAAATATTAAAACGCAACTCAGTCGGGCATTATATCCGAGCGAGTGGGCACGTCCTTATGATTATACGCATCAGTGTATGATACGAGTAGGCTAAAAGTTTATAGCGGCACCATTTATTTATTCTATACAATTATATAAGTATATACTTTGTTAAATTAATATTAACATGTTTTTGCTGAATTTGCATGCTTTGTCAGTAGAAAATGTTTTGTTAAAACTCTAAGGAAACTAAATGATAATCATTTCGTCCCTCAACGAGAGTAACTTTCACCATTTTGAGGAATTATACTATCTGTTATAATATGCACAAATGTGTGTATATTATTTAATTAAAAACTACATTCTACCATAGACCGTTTACCTACTGGAGTTTTTCAAAATATGAATTTTTTTAAATTATCCACTCAATAATATATCATAAGATTTAAATAAGTAATTTTTTTTCGTTGTGTTTTTATACAATGTGATAGCAATTTTTTACAAGCTTTTATGTTTTTACTTCCCTTTTAAATTAATTGTTTTTATATCAACGATTGACTTAAATGGCAAGGTATATGAATATATATCAAATTTTAAATTTAGATTAATTTACCACACATTTTGACCGGTCGATAACCAGTTTTTAAGTCGTTACTTTTAATGTTATTAAAGTTTATTTAACAGTTAGTAATGGAGGGGAAGTGCAGTCAAATAATGCGTGAAGATAAAAATAATACTACACTCCACCCTTCCACCCGTCGTAAACTTTAAACTTAAAAAATAATTACCGAAAACCGGTTATCGACTAGTCAAAATGTTTGTTTAATTATTCTTTATTTTAAAAAATGATAAAATATTTATGCTGTCTAACACTGTGTAATACTTAGTTCTACAAAATATAAAGTCATGAGAAAACAATAATAATACATATGTATTTCAAAAATTGCGCTTGGATGTAGTTAACGAGAGTTGTTCGAATCATAACGTTAAGCACAAAAAAACGTAAAAATAAAGGTGAAAAAAAACATAATATTTCCCATATTAATTATATTTAAATATTATATTATAATATATACTGTTTTCCTAGGTGAAGGGTCAAACTGCTACAGAAAAACACATTAAGTATTACTTTTCGATTTCCCATTTACGTTATATTACACGTCCGGTGGTCATCAATATGGCATACACATGCGTTTTGTCCAGGCCATTGCCTAGAACATATACATTATATACATACACAATAATATCGCCTCGTAAAAAGGGACACTTACGTTTAAACATAAAATATAAGATATGTGAATATGTCATAAAAACGAGTTATTTATTAAGGGGTTTGTCAGGCATGGTCTATAACGGTGTTTATAAGATATAAGATATTACATGTATAGATTTTTCATTTGATTGTTTCGTTTTTATTTTTTGTACACAACGCCGGAAAACAAAAAACAATATAACAAGCGTTGGTCGACCAGGCGCAGATAAATATAATATTATATTCTAATATAAACTTACTATATAGTTTCCCCATGGATGATGGGTTAATATTTGAATAACGTCTTATTCGATCCGTAAATCTGAAGAATAGTCACTTTTGGGGACACCACCGGGCCCAAAATATAGACGAACTAGGAAAAACGATATATTATGATAATTAAAACTGCGGCTTATACTATATGGGACCACACGCATATCATTTAAACATCGATCCATTTCACCTGCTAAACCCAATGTTGAAGAGTAGAAAAAAATTCAGAGAAAAAAATGCGAAAAATGACAAATAGTATTATCACAGTCATGAATGTTTTACTATTCATGATTTATATTTCTTTCTACCTACATGAAAGTCAACTCACATTGCATTAGTGGACACTTAAGGTAAACAGTAACACATTATATCATTTTAATAAAAAATACAAAAAATATCTACAGTCTTTAACTTTTTTATTAAATTTCATAAACGTTTTGGTTTATAATTTATTAATCATTACTATTAGTTTGATATTTATTTTTATTGCATAATTATTATATTTTTGTCGAGTAAAAATTTAAATAAATTCCATATTGTTTTAATGAAAATCTTCAAATCTTGACAAACGAATTATCTAGATTACTTATAATAGGTAATTCATCTTGGGTTTTGTCTAGATGACTTATTTGGATAATATTATCAAGATAACGAACCACAGTGCTCCACAGTTGGGCTGACATTGTATGTGTCTGATGTTAATTTTTAATGTTGGTGTGTTTTTAATATTTGTTGACACAATGACGGCGGTTTTTATGTGAATTTAAGACTTAAAATTTAACTATAACAACTATGTATAAATAGAGCCATTTTAAAGATGTTATAGTAGGAGTGCACTCAATAGAAATATAACATTATAGGCTTATGATGTACTTTGTTGCGCTCAAAGAGAGTTTAATTTTACGGCAGAATGGATTTGTTTTATGAGTTATATTATGTTAAACATCTAGATTAACTACAACATATCATATTTTTCTTTCAGTTTATTAACCCAGACGAATAGGTGTTTGAAATAATCTTTAATCGGAAAGTATTGAATTTAATTACAATGAGTTAAGGAATTGTAAGCATATAAGGTAAATGTAAATTTCTTTTTTTTTAATTTAAAGAACATCAACCATTTTTAATTGAAAACGTTCAGTCTTATAATTTGATTGCATTACAAAATGTAATTGAGTATATTTTTTAAAAATTATTTCTGTTTTGTTACACGCATTCTATAATACATTTGTCTTATTTTCCTACAGTTGTTATACTTAACGCTGTATAATTTTAAATTATTTACTTTAAGCCATGTGCAAAAATGTAGGTAAATACTATTTTCTAAGCACAAAAAGTAGTAGTTACATTTGCATCGCGCAACCTTCAAAAATAAATAAAAGCACATCACACAAGTAATCATTAAATCGACCGGTGTAAAAACTACCTCTAGAACACAATAATAAAGATGAAATAGTTTCTTTTTGTATAATAATTACTATAGCCAAAGAGCAGCATTAAGTCAAAATGCTGTGTCTTTTACCCGAATAAAGAATTGTTTGCAAAAATAGGGATAAGTCATTGAAGTATAGAACCCATTACTAATGGGCTATTAGCTACAATTGTAATATTGGACAAACAACAATCATAATGACTGCGATCATCATGTAAGTGTAGCCGAGTAAATAGACAAACGAGTATAGTATGAAGAGAAGAAAAATAATACACACTTTTGTAGTCTGTAAATAAGAAACTAACTTATTTATAAACTATAATAAATAAAACATAAATTATCATTGGTGTTTTTTCTTAAACATTATTATTAAATAACCGGTAATTATGACTATAACACAATAAATAAGATATAAGTGCAATTATATCGTACTTAAAAAAAATCAAAATGTAAACTAATAATAAAAACTCGATCTTTATTTTACTTCAAAATAAAATAAAATTATAGCTTTGAAAATTGTAAAACATTGTTATCAACATTTCGGGGTTTTTATGTTTTCATTTTTCCCCATTAAAGTGATTCGCCGTTTACCATTAATTCTGTAGATGACTAATGACTTATACAGCTTAAACTATGAACTAGGAGAGCAGTACCAAGCCAATATGTATACAATTATTATTACTTAATTGAAGGGTACAGGGAAAAAACCAGCAAAGTCACATTTTAAAAACGTCAATTTTTTGTTATAAAATTCGTTTGATACAAAACAAATCTGTTCTTTACTTTTAAGCACGATTATAAACAAAAATATATAATATTTTTAAA